GGAACGAAGTGGAATCGCCCTCCGGTGATCTCCCTGGATGGGGCCTGCAATTTCCCTTGCCGAAGGCACCGGGGGGGCGGCAGGCACAGCGATCCCTCACCGAAGAAGGGAGGAATCGCAACTTGACTCGGAGAGGTCAGAAAGGAAAATTAAAGAGTCAAGAGAATCAGAAAGATAAGATGGAAAAAAGTAAAAAAAAGGCTATTAGGCCTAGTCTGGAGCCTTGCGGAGCAAAGAAAAACACGTCTGCTAAGCTGAGAACTAAGACAAAAAACTGGGGAAGGCACGCCCAGAGGGAGGCGTGGCAAGATAATCATGTGGATTATCCATCCCTCATGCTGGAGAAAATGAAAATTTACTAACTGAAGAAGAATTAATTAAGAAAATTTTAGAATGTGCAGAAATGGATAGATTGACTTTAAAGATAAAAGAGAAAGAAGACTCAGTGTATTTTAAAACATGGATTATTTTTTATCAATGGCTAGAAAAACGAGTTAGAGAGAAAGGAATGTGACATGTAACACTGAATATACACTAGTAAGAAGACTATCAAGCAATTAATTAATGTATTGTTTATGATAATTAGTTACTACTCATTGTTTTTTTCTTTTTAAATACAAGTACCCAGACAACATGCTGTTTGCTAAATATTAAGAATGTTATTTTAAAAAATCCTAACCCCAATTCCAACCCTACCCTATATATATATTCGCCCAGTTAGCCCTCCCCATCACCAACCTGCTAAAGACAAAGGGGGAGGGAAAACCCAATCCCAATCAGCTATTTAAATGGTCAATAGAATGCCAAGCTGCATTTGAGAAACTTAAGCAACGGAATCAGTGCTGAAATACCCAGACCCCAATGCACCTTTCGTCATCCAGGTGGACGCCAGTGATGTCACAGTAGGCAAAGAAAACGAGCAAGGATGTCACTTCTGCAAGAAAACGAGCAAGGATCCTACAGCCATGTGCATATACTTCTAAGAAATTAAATGAAACAGAATAGAGATGGGCAATTTGGGAGAAAGAAGCCTATGCTCTACGATGGGTGCTCCTAACTTGGAGGCATTTCCTAGAAGGGGGAAAACCCTATTTAAAATCTGGACTGACCATAAGAACTTAGAAGCCTTCAGAAACCCAGAGACTATCGCTGAAACAGGTCCAGTGGGCTCACTACTTTAACCAATTTAACTTCACATTACAATATCTTCCATGGGAAAAGAACTAGCTAGCAGATGCTCTATCCAGACTGCCACAATACAATAGTTCAAAGCCAGAGGTAACTAAGGCATCCCCTCCAGGCAAATAGTCACCACCCGAGTGAAGGCAAAAGCGAAAGCCCAACTAGCTGATGATCTAAAGAACGCCTTAAGAGTTAAAATGGTAGAAGGTGCATAAGAATGAATGTACACTGCAGGATGGTCTAGCTTGGGTGGGGGCCAAACTGTACATCCCAGAAAGCCATCAGTTGTTGATCCTACAACAGAGCCATGATTCAAAATTGGCAGGCATTTCGGGTTCGTAAAAACCCTGCACCTAATCAAGCAGCAATTTTGATGGCCATCCCTCAAAAAGGACATAGAAAGCTATGTAACCAGCTGCCCTACCTGTGCTTCTGCCAGGAGAGGGAGACACTGGGAGTCCTCCAATCCGTAGCAGAACCAAAAGCTCCATGGAAATCGATATCAATGGACTTTATAGTAGAACTGCCCGAAAGTTCCGGGAACACAGTAATTTGGGTGATAACCAACTTATTTTCCAAGCAGGTGAATTTTGTTCCCTGCCATAAAATCTCTTCCGCATGCACTTTTGCTAAACTTTTATCGTTTATTGGTTAAATGGCATTCCAGAGTGGATCAGCTCAGATCGCAGAGTCCAATTCACTTTGCAATTTTGGCAAGAGTTCCTAAAACTTTTGGGGACTTCTCAGGGGTTCAACTCCTCATATCATCCAGCTACTAATGATGGCTGTGAACGTACCAATGGGATCTTGGAGCAGTACCTCAGATGCTATATTAATTACCAGCGGGACAATTGGATGGACCTTCTCCCTTTCACGGAAGTCGCTTACAATAACTCAATACACAGTAGTTTCGGGTTCACTCCATTTAAAGTGGCCATGGGACAAAACTTTGTATCTATCCCCAAATTGCCTCAGGCCACCCCATCGATTGTATCACTGCAGGAATGGGTGCCCAATTACAAACCACCTGGCCAGTGGTGAGAAAGGTTTTGGAGAAAGCCAGAAAACCATACAAAAGGCAAGCCGATAAAAAGTGCACAAAGCTTAAGGACTTAAACTGGGAGATAAGGCCTATCTGTCTACTAAGTTCTTCCAGTCTAGACAACCATCCAAAAAAATGGTGCCAAATACGTTGCACCTTTCCCCATAAAAAGAATTATTTACCCAGTGATCGTGGAACTTTAACTATAAAAATGCTCAAATGCATACATCCCATATTTCATAGCAGTCTTTTGAAACCGGAGGTCACTTCCCTGCGTCCAAAGTTGCAACCAGCTCCTGATCCTATCATGATTGAGGGAGAACAACACTTTGAAGTCAGAGACATTTTGGACTCTTGTGTAGTGGGAAAAAACCAATATCTGGTAGCATGGAAAGATTTTCCTCCCTCAGAGACTGAATGGGTTGATTCCAAACATATTAAAGCCTCCAGATTGCTTAAGAGATTCCATGACAAACCCCACTGAACCAATTACTAATGATGAAACATTCTGTGTCTTTCCTTCCCCTCTTCTCTTCCTTTGCCGGACTAACATACCTGTCCAGCAGGGCAGAATGTCAGGTCCTGCCAGTTCTTGCCATCAAAGACTGGAGGGGGGAGTATGGGACAAATGGTCAATATGATTGTGCTCTGATTGGTGAAGCACAGATTGGTAACAGGGGGAAGGGTAGAAGATAATCTTTTTTGTATTTTTTTCATGTGGGAAAACCTTAGAGCTAGCCTGACTTTACTGCAACCAACTTCCTTAGTAAAAGAAGCTTTTGCTTCAACCTAATGGAGTTGAGAATCTTTCTTTCCTAAGGGACCAGATTGGGGCAGGTCTGACATACAGATTATATCCCTGTAGGACAAAATGGATCATTCCAGTTATATGATTTGATGACAGTGTTTAAACATATTTAAAAGTGCAACACAACATGTATTACTTGAAATTGCTCTGTTTACCTTTCTCTTCCGCCTTTCCTCCTCATCAAGATGCTTTTCTTTCTCTTTCTCTGATTTTTTTTTCTTTTTCTTTTTCTTTTCCTTATGTCGCTCTCTTTCATGATCTGATCGGTCATCATAATAACTGGAATCATGTCCTGATCCTGAAAGCTCAGTCACTTCACTGCCTCCAACTTTCAGCACCAGTTTCAATGGCTTTTCCAAAGGTTTGTCCATATAATCTAATCAAAACAAGTAACAATAACAAAACAACATAAAATTTATATATTTTTGCACTGCAGCAAATCTGAATGAAGTCTTTTCCAAAAGATCTCGAGTAGACACTTCTGCCTATATAGATATGAGACAACTAACCTATATAGATATGAGACAACAGTTATGTGTTCTGGATTTTACTAACTAACTAATCAAGCATCAAGACACCATTAAGTTCAGGTAATACCCATAATACAAATGGTTGAAGAAATGCATATCAAAGAAGCTGTGTATTGGGACCAACTCTCTATAGTCAGAAAACTACATTTTTGGTAATCTATGTTTCAAATAACTTAACAATTTATTAATTTTTGAAGAATACAGTTCAAACTTCCTGGAGACATAATACTACGTAACAGTTAAAATGTTGGGCAACAACAGAGGAGACCCAAATTCAAATTTACTCTTAGCTATAGAAACTCAATGGATATTTTCGGCTAAATTATACTTTTGGAGCCTGACAAACTAAGGCAACTAATAATAATAATAATAAAGTTGGAAGGGACCCTGGAGGTCATCGTCCAACCCTTTGCTCAGGCAGGTAACCCTATACCATTTCGGACAAATGGCTGTCCAGTTTCTTCTTAAAAACTTCCAGTGTTGAAGCATTCACCGCTTCTGGAGGCAGGTTGTTCCACTGGTTAATTGTTCTGTCAGGAAGTTTCTCCTTAGTTTAGGTTGCTTCTCGCTTTGGTTAGTTTCTACCCGTTGCTTCTTGTCCTGCCTTCAGGCGCTTTGGAAAATAGCTTGACTCCCTCTTCTTTGTGGCAGCCCGAGATATTGGAACACTACTATGTCCCCCCTCGTCCTTCTCTTCGTTAAACTAGACATATCCAATTCCAGCAACCATTCCTTATATGTTTTAGCCTCCAGTCCCCTAATCATCTTTGTTGCTCTTCTCTGTACTCTTTCTAGAGTCTCAACATCTTTTTTATATCGTGGTGACCAAAACTGGATAGAGAAGAGCGAAGGGTGGATGAAATGAATGAAAGACTAGTTCAGCCGAATAAAGAACTAGAATCTACAGTAATTTCTCTTGAACTTGACAAAGCTGCCCAATATCTACAATTTCAAAACGTATGTGAGGTGAAAGGTGAAGACCTTCCTACAACAATGGCGGATATACTAGCGGGGACATTGGGGTCCAGTAGAGAAGAAATGGCCAGTGAAATGGATGAGACTTTTAGAATACATACAAATTACGCAAGACGGAATAATCTTCCTAGAGAAGTACATGTTAAATTCACTAAAAAATCAGTTAGAGATGAAATATTATTCCGGGCTAGAGATGAGGCACTGGAGTACCGAGGGTGACAATTGATTGTTCTCAAACAGATACCGAAGAGAGTGAGGGACCTGAGAAGACCTTACCAAAAAATAACTACTAAATTGACGAGAAAAAATGTCAATTTTAGATGGCTGACACCAGAAGGGATTCTTGTCACATGGCAGGAGAAAAGGTTCCGTTTAGACTCAGTGGAGAAGGCAGAGGAGTTTATAGGGAGAATTTTGGTAGTGAGGAAGATCTAACTGAGGGAGAGGTGAGACAGGAAAGGGAAACATCAGTTCAGGCTGTGGAAAGAAAGCGGGTTGATACTAGAGAGGATATGGACAATGGCAAAAACGAAGGGAAGCATGATGAGGATAGACCCAAAGAAATTAAAGAAGCCAGACCGACAAGATTGATGGAGGAAAAAGAAAAAGATTTACAACCTCAAGAGTCTAGGCCGCCAATAATAACTAGATCTAAACATAGATAAGGAGGAGAAAAAAGGTGTTGAATCCATATCCATCAATGTTAATGGTCTCAACTCTCCAATAAAAAGGAAAAAGGTTTTGAATAAATTGTATAAGATGAACTTAGATATAATTATGTTGCAAGAAGTCCATATAAAAAAACAATATCAATATCTATTGAACTGCCCTAAATTGGGGAATATGTTTGCGGCACTGTCACAATATAAGAAAGGAGGAGTGGTAGTATATATTAAGCAAGAAATCTCAGCAAAGCAAATTTATAAAGATGAAGAGGGCAGAATCTTAATTGTGGAAATAATTTTGAATAAAATGAAAATCCTTCTAGTGGGAATCTATGCTCCGAATGAGGGGCAGAAACAATTTTATAAAGAACTACATAATATTATTATCCAATTGGAATACGACAACATATGTATAATGGGAGACTACAATGCAATTATGGATAGATGCCTAGATTATAAATGTGGAAATAATAGAAAAAGAATTAGAAGTACAATACCTGATACATTCTTAAAAATGGTTAATGAGCTTAATATTCAGGATATTTGGAGAGAGAGGAACCCAGGGAAACAACAGTTTACATTTTATTCTGGACGGCACCAGTCATGGTCCAGAATTGACATGGTGTGGATGTCAGCAGGTTTAAATTTAGAGGTAGAGGAGGTAGTAATCGACACAAACTCCTGGGCCGACCATAACCCAATTAGAATTAGATGGAAAGGGCAGAAAAGAATGGGGAGATGGACTTTGAAAAGGGCAATTCTTAAACATAAGGAATTTAAATTGAATTTGGAAAATCAAATGGGCCTGTTTTTCGAGACAAATAAAAAGGAGGACACGAACTGCCAAAACTTATGGGATACTGCCAAAGCGTATATGAGAGGTGTGGCAATTTCCTATATGGCCAGGGAAAACAAAATTAAAACACAACGATTAAGACAGTTAGAAGAAGAATTAACCAGAGTTGAGGAAGATTTGCAAAAGGAACCACAAAGAAGTGGGTTGAAGCAGCAGA